CAATCTACGGACCACAAGTAGGTGGTGGTCGACAGACCAACCCAGGGAAGAGAAACAGTCTCCGTCTACTTTTCAAAACTGAAACCTCTCACCTCCATTAGTTATCAGTAAAAATAAATCTTAATGACACAGCTTCGTTGCCTCCTAAGAGTATAATGCAGCCAATACCTCCACCTCGCTCCTCATCTATTTTAGTCTACTCTTTTTTAATGTTTTTATGTTGTTCGTAGCCTCCCTGGCCTGGAATCAAACCAGGGACAATGGCATTGAGGACTAACTCTGTATCCGGTGCGCCTGCTCTCCTACTGAGCCATGCGGCACCCCAACATTTGTTCTAATGTCAGCTACCTTCGAAGGTTTACAAGCCTGACTGGTCTGTCAAACTTCATTTGTTTTTGTTTTTGCATTCAGGTGTAGAGTTGTTGTTGTGCTTTGGATTATTCTCCTGCTGCACAGCTCAAGGGCACTTGATCTTAAGACTGCAAACTAATCGCTGGACATTCTCCTCCAGAATTTTCTGGTACAGAGCATAAAGGCTGGATCCATCAATGATGACAAGGCGGAAGAAGCAACAGAATGTATAACTCAGATTTACAGCACATGTCTCTAGACTTGATACCAGCAGACAAAGGATCTGTAGAGAGACATTTTTTCTTTCTACCATCGATGTGGTAGAAAAAAGACCAACAATTTTATTATTTCTAATCGATCAGGCACAAATGAAAACCGTTGAGAGAAATATATTTATATTCCAACAAGCTTTTCATGTTGTCAGAGAAATGGTCCAGTAGTATTCCCCCACTCTATCCTGCTGTACTGCACCTGGCTGCAGGGAGCTTTCATTTCTAATTAAACAGCATACCAAATGAGGATAAAGATAATAAACGTAGTTAAAATAGACGTCTTCCTGCACTGCTTTTTTTCCTCTTTTCATTACCCATTATTCCACATTCTGTCAAACACAAAACAAGCCTTTGCTTGGTGCTACATCTGCTGAAAAGCTCTGAGTTGTTGCTATGCAACTATTAAATACATCTGAGGTGAGCTTCTCTTGAGTTTCCTTCTACCTTTCAGTAACCTGTGCACTCAGTGCTGCAGAAACTGCACTTTTGCTGATGCTGTCAGCTTTGCCCTCTTCCCTCTCTGTAAACAGGGGTCTCTGGTGAATACTCTGCATACCGTGGAGTCAGAGATATGTGATAAAACGTATCTCTCAGATCACATTTGTAGCAGACAGAATGTAGATTCAGAGACAGCCCCAGCAGACCAAGTTGGGGAAAATATCCAGTTTCTTCTTCAAAAACAAAACTCATACAGCTATATTTCATATGTTCAGCTCCTGCCATCTCTTCTTTCACTGTTCTGTTGCAGTCAGCGTGTCCAGTCTGGTTTGTTTGACACATGAAAATTACCTGCAGCCCAGCAGCTGCCTAACCGGCCACACATGGGATCTCAACATTAGATCCACATCCTATAGAAACAAGAACGGAACAAGACCGGCATCATTTATGGCACAGATGGGAAAAAAATAAATCATCCCAGGTAGAAAGGTACAGATAGATCTGATGGCAGCAATGAGCCATGAAACACACCGCACACGTTAGCAGACAGTGTTATTAACACACTGGTGGAAAACACTTAACTCATGCCTATTCGATTATGCAAATGGGTACATATACAAATGGCCCTGGTTGGATATTAGCCCTCTCAATTACAGTACATGGAGAACGGCTGGTCCGCTGTCCACTGTTGGAAACAAAAGCTCAGGGGCCAGACTGGTTTCACTTTCCTGCTGCGCAAATGTGTGCAGAGTCCTCTGGATGTGGGCAAATTGAAATGATCAAGTTTAAGAGCCCCTTTCAGTGCTTTAACTCAGTCGAAAATCAGTGACAGTAATCTTTAACCAAATAGTGATATACAGAAATTATTTTATTTTGGCACCTAATTAAATTTATTCTTTGTGATTTATCATTCAACTAATAAAGATTCTCCAACACTAGAGCTCATAGTTCAACAAAAACGGTAAACAAATTCAGTAACTTAGCAACTTTTCTTTTTTACACAAGACAACTTGCACTATGTCCCAAAATATTTTCTTAAAAATTAATCTGAAATAGATAACATTTGTATCCAACGTAGCATTTACGATGAAGACACTAATTTTGCAAATACTCCAACTTTTTAACTTCTTCACATTCTGTTATTTAACATATTATATTGAGATTTATGACAAAGTTCCACTTATTATCCTCTTTTTTAGGATTTGACAATGATGTTACATCTGAGTTCTCAACACACAAGTGTAAACATTTTGAGAACTATTTTTAAAAAAATAAATTAAAAAAACTGCAACAAATAGTCAACCATCTCCTTTTAATATTATCTAAAAGAGAATATTTTAGTTCTTAGCAACCCAAAATTTATCTTTGTCATTAACTATTATATGCATTTTAATAATACTTCTATGTAAACCGCCACATTATAACTGAAATGCCATATTTTGCATAAATGCCTGCAAATATTCTGCTGGGGTTTAATGGCACCTGAGTGGTGTTTTCACTGACAACATCATTAAACGGTATAGTCAAACACACACTCATCCAAAACATTGCTAAGAGCACATTGTGGTTTTGATTCAAGGAAAATGCAGCCAAATTTCTCTCAGGAGGTAATTGATTTTGCAGCATAAAGAATAGTGGCAATGAAACAAACGCATCTAAAAACATTAAAATTTAAAATTATTTTTGTGTATAAAGTTATCACTAACTTTATGCAGGTAGTTTGGCATTCAGTGATTAAAAACATAAAATGTTTAGAAAGCACAAAAATGTCTAATTTAAGGTGATTTAATTTTTCTGCAATGGTATGTGTTAAAAAGAAATTAAGCACAGAGCAACTACAATGTAATGCTCCAATGAATTACAGGAAATGCTCTAAGGATTCAGCTGCACCACAGCAGTAAGCCAGCCAACCTGAGCACCTTGTCTATTTTCTCAGGTTATAATCTGCACTTTGAAAACAAACTGCTCCCTACGTAACCAACATAATCCAATCACCACATCACTGCTTTTTAAAATAAATATTTTGCATCACATTCATGTCATTTCATGTGGTGTTCTCTATAAAAGGAGGTGCTGATTCCCAGCGTCGTCTCTCCTGCTCTGCTGTGCAGCAGCGCTGTCCATGGTTCTGAACCAGCGCTTCACAAGCTCTTCTCACTGATATGACACGATCATTTTGTCAGCTGCCTGGCTGGGTGGAGTGGCCCGGACCTCGGCTCAGCTGGGACCATCTGAAAGCGCCAACCAAGCTGGAGTCTCAGCAGGCGGGAAGCTCCACGCCCTGTTTGCTCTCTGAGCTGCCACACGTGTCACAGCGTCTTGCACTGATGGAGAGGAGTTCAGTGGGAGGAGGGCTGCACGTCGTAAAACCTCCTAAACCTTACTTTGTTGTGCTTTCTTGTGTTTTAATGAACTGTAAAAGAAAAGGCTGATCCCACCTCATCCTGTCTTTCCTGGGAGTAGCAAGGACAGCCAATCATAGCGGATGAGGCAGTGAGTCACGCAGAGCGTGGTCTGGATCCAGTGGACGGAGAGAAGCCGTATGCCGCTCTGGGCTGAGATGCTTTCACCTCCAGGGAAGCCTTAACGTCCTGAACCGATCTGGAGGTCCACACATAGCTCCGCTCAACAAATAAGCAGCGTCTCTGCATCTCACTGATTGCTGCTGATTACTTTTAAACGTCTCATGAGAAAATATGATTTGTAAATGATGCCATCTTTTATTTAGTGTCTAAACACCCACTGTTGCTCTGCAAGGTTAGGTGAAGGTCAGCATGTTGCTGCACGCTGCTGTAGTACAGTGTACCATTCATGGCTTAACAGCTGTTCAATAAAAACACTCTTTTCTTTAACTATTAATGCTGCTGGATACACACCACACAGACTAAGGAGACATGGAGAGATTCTAATGTGTGCAACTGTATTTAAAGATGAAAGGAAAGAGAAAGAACTTCATTTTCACATTGAATGCTGAAAATGCAATAAGGTATTTCTAAGGAGCCACAAAGCACTGAAGTAAGGATGTAGAAGATGTAAGAAAAGTGGACTTGACACCAAACTAGTTTGAAGTCTGGAAACTTCACAGTGGATTTTACCTCGCTCGTGTTTCTAAGTGAGCAAACGTGCAAACGAAAACAGAGGCTGGGAAGCTTTGTTCAGCTCCAGACACTTTGATAAAAGATCTACGGCACCTTAGCATGCATGGATGGAGGAAGGCAGAGAGACCGACTCATTCATTTCAGGCGAATCAGGGATAATGAGACCAAAGAGAGAGGGGGAAGCGATAAGGGATGACAGAGGGGGGAAATGACAAACAGCGGGGAAGGCAGTGCAGTGATTCGATTACACTGTTAACTTCTCATTACATGACAAAGAAAGCAAACACAGGCAAACGGGAAGCAGCAACACCAGATCCAAACTGGATACAAGTGGTAAATATGTCACATCTGTTGTCTTCTCTGGAGCTCAGTTATTGTCTCCACTGAGGAGCTGAGCCCAACCCTCATCCCAACCACCATGGGGAGCCGAATTCAGCCTGGTCCCACTCAGAATGCTAACCAAAAACTAATTATTAATGAAGTACAAAATAAAAAACAATGTGTGCAGAAATATGGACATGTAAAGGAGAGAGACGAGAAAAAACCTTCAACGATTTTTCTAAGTTAACCTTTTATTTTATCACTTTTCAGGAATAAATGGGAAACCCTTTGACATCTGTCACTTATGATGAGAGCCTCTTTTTTCCTTCAAAATCCAACCTGACTTCTCTAGACAGTTGCAGTACAGCGTCCTGTGAGCCATGTTTACGGACGCGCTCACACATATCAAAAAAATCTCCATTTCAAGCGGCCAGCCACGGCATGCATTCATTTCAAAGCAGCAACACAAACAAAAGCTCTGCCTTCATGTAAATGTATGCCTGAATGATTTTTCTCCTACCTGGCAGTTTGCTGTGTTTCTTTGGGTTCTCTTCAAAATCCCAGGAAGGGCTTCAAACAAGTTCTGCTTGATGTTGCACTTTGAGAAGAAGGAAAAAGGGGAAAAACAAACATGAGTGGCTTGAAAAGAAACGTCCTTTTTATTCACACGACGGCTCAAGAAGCACTCACGATCACACACTTGAACACCCAGTCAGCAGCTCCAGCAAGCGAGCGAGCGGCTCGCTGTTCCTTCCCTCTCTTACTGTCCGTGACACTCGCCTCCTCTCTTCCCGCCCACCTACTCCAGCCCCCTCCCCTTTCCTCCGCTCCGACTCCTTTTTCTTCCCTACTGCTCCCTCTCTTGCTCCTCTGCTGTCAGACAAAATGCACACAGCCCCTCGATCTCTCGCTCACTATTTTCTGACATTTTCCCCCCACCCACTCACACCTTCTGCTCCATGAAAACAAATATCAGTCGGTGGTACTATTAGATGTGCATTTCCACACATCATTTACAAACTTGTTCTTGGTTTATGGACCGTTTCTGTGGATATTATCTGAGAGAATGAAACAAAGCCCCTGTGCAAGCTCAGTAACACTAGATGGGGGGATTAATGAATACTCTTAATGAGGCATTCACAGTGTATATGATTACTGTTTGAGGTTGCTCGCTCCCGCTTATTCTTCTTGATTTCTGCCCCCTCTGTACCTCGTTCTATTTATTTCTGTCTCTCCCAGGGAGTCGCTGGTGTGTCTGATGCTGCTCACGTCCCATTCTACAGACAGCTAGTCAAGGGCATTCCCAGAGTAAGTGTATGCTAATGCTCTGCCTCGAGGAGCTGCCTAGCATCCTCCAGACACTCAGCCTGACCGGATGTGGCACTCGGATCTCCCAAAGAGGGGACGGCAAATGTCGAAGGAGGACCAGCAGTGAAAACCTGACAAACCGTCGTTCTTTCACTTCAGCTGACATAGCTAGGTCAATGACACCAGCAGGGTTCAAGCATAATTCTTATATGATTTTCCAAACTAGACAGGTAAATATGATAAAAATAAAAACGGTAAACTTAGGGATGACATTTGATATTCACGGGGAAACTGAAGTAGGTATTTCTTTCAGTCTTGATGAAAAGGAACCAAGTTTTTCTGCACATCTCAGACTTTCAGAGAGTTTGTTTCAGAGCATAGGAACATAAAAAAAAATAAATGCTGCTTCACCTTTCTAAGTTCAGATCCTGACTGAGTGGCTCTCTGATGACCTAAGAGGTCAAGATGGAAACCTAATGAGAAACTCTGTAAAGTATTTGCGCCCAGATCTATAGCATGAATTTAGAATTGGTCGTTTTACAAACTGGGAGCCAGTTTAGTGACCAGTAATATGGTTCAGTTTCTTTAGGTTTAATAGCAGCATTTTGGATGAGCTGCAGCCCACTGATCTGAAAATGAAACCTGTCAACAATAAAAGAAAATAAGTTAATGTGGTAGTATGGATTATGTTGGTGATAAAATGTTTTTGACTAATTATCTCTATCATTGCATTTATCAATCCAAAGATTCTGACTTATTTCTTCTACAAATTAATCTGGAGAAATTTCATACCGTCTTATTTTTGTGTACCACTTTTTGACTTCACTGGACTGTGGTCAAGTGTTAAAGCAATGCCAAGTATTGGGAGTGGTAGATATTAATAATGGAGCTTCATGTATAAATTTGTCTGCTCAGATTTTTTACTGTTGATTGATAAATTACCAATGAAATATCTTAACCAGCACTGTACCAGACGATCCTGTTATCAATCATTGCTAATTTTAGATGCATTAAGGCTGATATGATATAAAATATAAATGAAGTGTCCAGGTTGTTATTGCATACTGAGCCACAGGCTGATTTTGACTATGGAAACACACACAGAGAGACAAAGGCCAACAGAGTCGGAACAGAGGCAAAGCAAACAGCGCGTCTCTGTTAATGATTGCCAGCCAGCATCTGCCTGGACTCCACACAGCTTGCTCTTCTTTAAATAAGCCTCGCCTCCCTGCTGCTGTGTACGGTATAGGTGCTGTGCTCTGTAGATGTTTGGGGCAGCTCCATTACTCAGTCGAGTGATGCGCCCACTGCAAATTTGTGGCTCAGTAGTCTTATAGCTAGACCCTAATGAGAGCAGGAAGGAGTGCAACCATGTAAAGAAAATATCCGAGTCTGTTCAACTCATATCCCAGCACTTTGCTACTGTAACTCCTGACTAAGAGTAACTTTTGGTTTAGGAATCTGAGGGCTTGAGTTCAAGTATGGTGCTTTAGCAATTCAGTAACACAGAATTGAGCTTTAAAATGAATGTAAAAGGAATTTTAATTTCAATGCTATGATGTTAAAATAGGAGTGATGCAAGGTTAAAAAACTCAACAAAATAAGCAACATTTTCAGATTAAATACAGGAATAGTCTTTTTTGTTTTACAACCTTCTTGAAGCATTGCTACATAAAGTATTCAAAAGTAGAGGAGGCTTCACAATGATTTCTTAGAAACAGGAAATGTTTTCAATGCTGAATTTATTTTAATCCCTTCAAGTATGGCTTTATGTTTCGTAGTTTTATTTTGGTACAACTAACTAAACCAGTGCAATGTGGCCTTTGTGAAAAGATTTTCTACCCCTCAAAAGTACAGCATCAGGGGCCACGTCTCTTTTTGTTATGAAAACTGAAAACTTTCCAAGAGTGTTAAGTGTGATGGGAGACACTTGGCTTCAAAAGAAATGGACAGGAAATGTGAACCCAACAAAGGTTGGAAACCCGTCAATGGTCGACTTCTTTTGAAGAAGAAAGGAAGATGAAAATGGACAGATTAACCGAGTAGGACGGGACTGAGAGGGTTGAAATGGCATTTAGAAGGAAAAAACAGCAGCAGAATAAAAGGAGGTAGGTGAACGAAAGGACAATTTCCCAAATGTCAGGAGCATTGCAGAGGTCACCTTTGGACACAGCAAATTACTGGTCTTATTCAACCTATAGTAGAAAACATTCAAGAGTCAGCAGTAATCTTTTCAAAGCACTTTCACAAACTGAGTTGTTAACTGATTACTACTTTTCAAAAGTGTAAATGCTAAATGGCTGAAAAATGAAATATAATGTATTATATTTCAAATTTTCCTTAATATTTCAAAAGAAAGCAAGTACAGTTTAAAGTGCCTGATTATGTGTAAAATTAAGTTTTCTTCTCACACTGGTAAACTTCTCACATTAAAAGTGACAAATGTTTAATTAAACATTTGTCAAATATCCATTTCCAGACTTGATCAATAGCAAGTATTACTTGTACGGCTGCTTCTCCACTTTTCTATTCTGACTCGATTAGTTTAGGTGACAAATCCACCTTAAATCACATGGTGTACCTATCGTAAGAGGAAGCCAAAAAGAACAGCCAAATCAGAGATCAGCATGTCTTGACAAGATTACCTGTGATGCATTAAATGATGTCTAATGATACAAAATGAAGGGTGGATGCAATCTGCTCAAATGCCAAGACAGACTCTTAAAAACTGCCATTGTAGATGTGATTGTGGCACCCTTAGTCATAAGAAGCAACACTACTCTCACTTGATTCATGGCACAGAAACACTGCTTTGACCCACCCAGAGTTTCCAGAACTAATTCTCTTGGAAACAGAGAAATGCACATTCAAATGGAGAAAAGAAGCCGTGATTACAGCTAATGCTCTCATTTCATCGTCTTTTTCTGATTCTCCCCTCCACCCTTCTCAACCGCAGGCAGGAAGCTGCCACGAATCACTTACAGCTTTATCTGTAGACAAGTGGCTGTTCAAATATGGAGCTATTCAGAGAACTCTTCTCAATGCATGCAGGTGCAGCTTTTCACCACTAGCCGGCTTCTCTCACTCGCATGCATGTGGTTCATACTGTACACAAACTCCCCACCCACACACACACACACAAACAAACAGCCTGCAACGATGCACGCAGTACACCTGCTGGGGTGAGCGATACTTTCCAATGACACGGACGTCTCACAGATGTTTGGCTAAAGTTCAAAATTCATCCTGCAGTGGTGAATAGGAAGCCCAGGGGAGGGTTGTTTTCCACCCATTTTATCTTTTTTAGCAGCTGAGATTTTAGAGACTCGTCATGTTTATACTATTAACCTTTGTCAGAAGATTTCGCCTGCAAACACTGTAGATTTGTCTAAGAACCTCCAGCAACCACTGTTCTTCTATATTTAAAGGTTTTTCTCTGGTTTTATGACATTCAAAGATTTTCTTGGTGAAATGAGCAAATATATAATCAAAATTATCTTTTATGATACCAAGAGGAGCACATACACTCACAGTACACCCTTTTGTTTCAACCTTAAGTTGTAAGAGATTCAAGAAGATGTCCAAAACAATTCTCAGAGATTCTGGTTCATATTGACATGCCAGCATTATACAGTTACAGTAGATTTCTCCACTCCACATCCATTAAGCAAATCTTTCACTTAACATATCAAATTAACTGTTTTGGATATAAATATGATGACTGGAAAGTCGATTGGAGTGCAGTAAGTGAACTCATTTTCATGTTTGAGATTATATGAGAGGATGGGTGCATCCTAAGACTGATACAAAAGGAAGAAATAAATTTAGCAGAGGAGAGGGATCAATTTAACTGCAAAATCCTGTCTAATATTTGATGTTTATTTGTCACGTAGAAGGTTGTTTTATCTTTGTTTTTGAGTCTATTGCTTTGCTTAAGCATCATTGTTCAACTGCACATTTTACACTTCTTGAAAAACATAATTAATCTGATTTTTTTTTTATTATCTACTGCATTTTAGTCATATTAATGGTTGATTAAAACACAACTTTGTAAAGTGATTATGTGACAATTTGGCCTCAACTGAGCACAAAAATCAGCAACTTCACCTTTAATCTGAATAAATTCAATACCTAGTTTTTGGAATCTTTTAAAACCATCCTGGTGTCATAAAACAGTGTGGGAACTTCAAAAACAAAATTTAAATGAATGATGTACTTCAGTACTTTCAGATATACTTTAATAAATCCAGGTGTTTTTGGTGGAAGGTCCAATTAACATGCTCAGAGAGACTTAATCTCCTCCTTTTCTAACTCCAGTCACCAGGAGCTGCTGCTCACAGGTCACATCCGAGTCATGTCTGCAGTGATAATTATGACCTCCTTACAGAGAGAAGACCTTAGATCCCCATTGATTCACACACAGAGAGAGCAGAGTGAGGGGAATTTACCAGAACTGATGACTGTCGGGTTTTGGACAACAAATATACAAGGCAGGG